TCACAGGGAGCCCAATTTAGATTAAAGTGAATGGTGAAAATAAAATCGGTCAGAGTATATATACATAAGATCAACATCAGATACCATAGGGAAATTATATAGGAAAACAAAGGCGTGCGTGAAAAAAAATGTTCTAGTGCATTTTTCATTGATTTTTTTACTCTTTCGCATTACGGAGGACATTATCTTGATCTCGAATTTAAAAAAATATTAAYTACTTAATTTTTCCGATTTTATTTTCACCATTCACTTTAATCTAAATTGGGCTTCCTGTGACGCGTTCAAGAGAAGYARAACTGGGAGTTGAAGAATACATTGGCWAATAAAAAAAGAAGWAAAGACAAACAACTTAATCATCCAACGTTTTGGAATCTTACAAAACTTTATTGAAATTATGGAAATTAAGATTAGTCGGATAAAAACRATTCAACGTAGAAATGAAACATTTCTTAGGACTGTGATTGTGACCAATCAAAGTACCAGATCCCTGATTACCCTATCAGGCCCCGTCCACACTATGCTGGATAAATTTGAATCCGAATTTTTATTTATTCGGTTCCATTTCGAAAATTCGTTTTCGGTGAAGAATTGTTCCGGATTCGCCCGGATTAGTGTGGACGGGGCCTCATAAATGAAAATACTGTGACGCGAACATCACGCCACGTGACTGCAAATCGTTTAGTTTTTCACAGACATGTACGAAATCTGTCATATATAGATTATATCAATAGTTAATATATATAATAAAACAGATGTTATCAAGGAAGATATATTTAAGGTAAATCTAACGCGGGTTTTTCTGCGGAGACATGACGTCATAGCTGCCATATTGGATGAATTAACACCTGATGCCAATTGCATCTCAATGCTTTTTACAGATATAATATATATAGTGGTATATAACTAAGATTAAATATCGAGAAAAATTGTAAAAATAGATAATTAGATAAAGATAATTCAGAAAAAATCATACTAAAGGCCTTAAATAATGATTGTAATCTAATCTCTAGTTATTAAAAAGATATGTCTTTAATTTGAATTTTAAAATATCAGTTCGTGAGTTTTTCAGTTCTTCAGGTAATGAGTTGTTTAGTTACATTATTATCGATGTAATATATACAATTTGATAAATAAGGTGCATTTTGGTCTAGCTTGGTTACCAACAACACCAGGCATGTAAGACATGATGAGCAAAAGATGTTTGTACCAAAACGAGACCATAATGCACCATGTCTGCTATCTTGGAAAATAGACCTCTGACAACGTTTTTTAAATATATGATGTTAGATGGCTAACTTAACTTAACTTGATTAGTATATATACCATCACGTGATGGCAGCAATGACAGGAGGCACAGCAAAATCCCGGGGAGGGGGGGGGGGAGTACTCCGCCAGGATTTGGGTAGGGGTGTTCCGCTGGGATTCTGAAAGGAGTACCCTGTTTATGACAAAAAAACTCAAATTTGTAGACCCTGTTTATGACAAAAGATATAATTTATTGCACTGAGTTCCTGTTTCAATCATCATGTTATCTCGCGTATCGTTTTTTTTTTTTACGACCATAATAACCAGTTTCGGTCAATACGAAAGTAGAGTTTCGTGTCTTTGTCTTTCTTTTATGGGTAAAGGTGATCGATATGCCGTCTTAATTTATCTTTTGTTGTGTTATCTTGTGGTTAACTGTTAATATCAATCATTACTTTAACAAAGGTTTATTTGCGCCCTTGACGTCCCATAATTCCTTGCGATCCAAGATGGCCGGCATATTGTCGAAGTAGTCCATTGTTCCTGCCTCCTGCCATGGCTGCGATCACGTGAAAATACGGGACAATAGTATTTATCATTAGTGAATATTTATTGATTTATTTGGTCCTGAAAATTAAGTAAATGAAGGYGATTTTGAGAGGACCTTATTTATAATGATTTTGTGATGTTAATTCTTCGAGTATTATTTAAAGCTATTTATAAAATAATTGGGATACGCGCGCTATGATTGGTCGAAAACTATGTTTGATGAGAGTATCAAAACACGCTATCGTTATTTTTAATCTATCGCGCGCGCTTATTGGTCAGTTTGAACAAGACGGCACGTAGGGAGAATTTACTTAGACTTTGCTTTTTTCAATCTTTTCGCGCGTTTGTTATTTTATAAAACAAATCAAAAACAGTTTTCCGTGTTTGATACTCTGATCAAAACACTTGGGATGTTTGGATGTTTCCGCTAACCGTCGTGGTTTCCTACGCTCCTCTCGTGTTCTTTCAACATCCCGCGTGTTTTGATCAGAGTGATCAAACACGGAAAACTGTTTTTGATCTGTTAATTCGAAAAAGCCGGCGTTGTTGAAGGTTTCGTTGGACTCAAGTTCCATACCAAGCCCGAATTGAACTATGAACTAAGTGAATACAATCAGCGATAGGACTGAATGCGAATTTTCCCAAACTTTGTCTGCACGATTTTCTGGCATAATTTCTTCTGCGCTGACATTATTTACAAAGAAAATTAAAACTGAAAAATAGGAAGGACAAAAAATGAAAAATAAGAGGTCGAGATCAGGTTATGCCAAAACCTTATCATTCTTTAGATAACTGTGTGAAACGTTCACAATACTCACTAAATTGCCAAATGTTATAATTACTAACTGTTTTTGATGATGTGTAATTTGTTCTATTTTTATTCGTTTTTTCAAGTAACCGGGGACCATGCTTCCAGACATCGAGTGCTGAACAGTCGAATGGCAGCGGGAAGCWTTTACGGCTACGCCAGAGATTTTGGCCCGCTAAAATAATCCATACATTCGTTGGAACTCGAGAAGTTCCGGTCGATCGTACGCCCACCATTTTCAGTTTTTCTCATTTTGGTTTATTTATTTGTTTTTCTTGATTACTGTGACATATTTATGATTGCTCGTTTACTTAATAACGTCGTCAACTGCTTCCTTAACTTCTGAGCAAAACAACAGGGCGCTCACTAAAGATTTGGAAGAAAATGAGAGCATAAAAACAATTCGGATATTATGACCAAGATAATCGACTATTAAGATATCGACTAACAAAAAAAGAAACCAAAAAATAAAATAAAACAAAAAAATAAACAAATGGAAGAAAACATAACATAAGACTACAACACGATAATAAGTTAAATGTCTGCGCGCAATGCATTGCATACACGTGATGAAAAATAATTTTTGCGAAGTTCCAAGGTAAAAGGCAAGTGTTCAAATTATATTGTTTGTGTCAACGACGATTTATGCGTATGATACCATGCGAGCAGAGTCTCCTTTTGCTAGCAGGTATGCGTATGAAAAATATCTGTAGAAGAAAAAAAGGGGGGGAATAGAAATTGAGAAGAGAAGATAAAAGAAGRACAGAAAAGAAAAAATGTCCATTAACAAAAGGTATGTGGTAAGTGCATGGCTATAACGCTGTATATATTTTGAATATATATTTCTAAAAGTAAAAAAACTAAAGAACTAAAGAAAGTGAGAAAAGAAAATGAAGAGAGAAACCAAAAAGTTCAAAACCCAAAACGTCACTGTTTTTATTTTTTAATAATTATTTTAATGTGGAGTGAATAGAATAACAGTCAAAATAAAAAAATAATAAACAACAAAGCAATTAAGATATGGTTCCGTATAAGACTCACCAGAACGGAAAAATTAATTACTTTACATTTTKTAAGAGCGTCACGCGCGAAGGGTTTTATATCTGGACTACGTATTACAGAGCCATCTCAGTTTGATTTTAATTTTTGGTAATACTGTATGAAAAACATTTGTCATCTATGTGGAGACGCTTCCACGTAATGCGCCCAGCAAACAGGAAGTGACTTCAAACTTATACATTTGATATTTCCTAGATATATAGACACTCAAAAAAAAAAAAAAATCAATGGTTCAAACTGCCCACTTCAAAACACTGACACTACAAAAGTTTTTTTGTTAAATATTTGCATCAAATCAATGTGGGTGGGGCAAAATATGCCTCAAGGGAGTTAAAGACTCTAAGGACATGTCAAATTCCAAAACCATTACTCCATCACTGACTTAACAAATGCTACCAATGACTCACTTATAGTCTTCTAAAGCGAACCCTTCGCGACCTAAMCAGTCCGTTTAACCTCGTATTTCAATTTGTTCCAAGTTTTTGAATTCTGATCGGCAAAGAAATCATAAGATTGAAAATAATTTGAGGTAAAGTTCGCAGCTTTGAATACAATGGTCGCCTCGCCTCGCCTCAGTGCGTGAGTGCATATTTGTATTTTTGATTGACAGGCCGTTCGACCAGACCCCACGCTAGAGATTAATTTTACCAAAACCTCCACAAACTGACTGCGGAATTTAGCGTGTTTTCAACGATTTTTTTCCTTGGGACCGCTACGGACACGACGGCAAACAAAACAAGGTCCAACAAGACACTCCAGGTAAGATCTTGAATCGAAATCCAAGCGAGTTCGACCAGCGAAAAAGCCTCTGAGATTCAACTCATGGGMAGAAGGCGCCAATAATGGCAGACAACTTCAAAGTTTTGAGTCATTCTTCTTCAAATATTTTCGAAATAAGACCTTAAAATACTCGAAAATCCTTGATCGCGTAGTATTCACATAATATCCAATGTTTTTTACTATAGTATGATTTAAGTTATCGTTAGTAAAGACAGTTTTGGAGGTCAACTAGAAAGGACTTTGCGTAAGCTTTACTAAAAGTCTTGTGTATTTTGTGTATCGAACAAAGAACTTTCTGCGCTTTTCGAACGCAATGATTTCCTTTGCATTTTGTCTTTATTTTCGTTCCTAGTGTTTGATTGACTTCCATCTATTGTATTCTCCTGTGTAAGCGGTGCAATTTGGCGTGTTTTATGGAGTATTCCACTTGCTTTGAAAGCCGATATTGCTTCGCGTAAAACACTTCGCCTTCAAGACAAACGCCCAGGAACCGAGATTCAAGCCGTTGTGACATTTTCTTCGTTCTCTAAGCTAATAACTGCATTAACTYTCTCCATCCTCCTATCAAGACAATTATAAAGATACCGAAATGAAGCTGCTGTTTTAAATCTTTGGTTTCTTTATTATGTTCGTYGTTCGTGTGTCGCTTTTAGTACCACATTAGCCTTGAACCTAATTTTCGCAAGCTGTTGGTTGGTCATACCCATGATGATAATCCCTCMAAAAATAACGCTAATGGTGGGGGAAATTTTCAACTGTATAATACAATTTCTTTGTTTTAGTAGTCTACGTATCTTGAAAGAATGATTTTTGTTTAATAATACGATCGTAAAGCGAATTCCTATTTTGTATAGTTGTTTCTCCTGAAAGGTTTACATCGCTTTCAAAACTACAACTCATAACACGAACGAAATACGAAATGGCTGCTCGTCGAAAATCATTCCCAAATTAAAATATTGCATAAGAAAAAAACATATTATTTGTGTATTTTAACCAGTAGAAGCGTAAAAGATTTGGAAATAAGGTCAAATCTTCTGATTTATTGAATATTTTCTTGACCGAACCGCAATATCTTCATGCTGATCGATCGAGTTCACAAAGGAGAAGATGTATGGTATCATTTTTGCGATTATTTTATGGATTAGAAGCTGGATTAAAACTTCTTGGAAGAATGTTATRAAGGATTTTTATCGTATAACTCCTTATTTTAAATATTTTCTTTCAAAATGCTTGCGAGATCCAAGGGAAAAGTTCGAAGTATACTGATCATTGCACATGTAAACACTAGCTTTTTCAATATCGTGGATTTCGAACGAATGATCTCGAACCTTGAATAAATTTTGGAATTTTTCATAAAAATGATTCTTAAAGGAAACAAAAATCTAAAAGAACAATTCTAGTTAGCGCTGGCTGATCTTTGTCGTTGTGCAAGCAACTGAACGAATAGATATTTTGGATTCAATTCGGAGCTTTGAGTCTTGGATGTGTTTACATCTTTGTCAAAAGAACTTCACGAAAATCATATTCACCAATTTTCTTATCTTTTTTAGCTCCTTGCCACATTAGGATCAGTGTCCATGCTTCGGTAAGGTAAGTCTACCTAAAAAAACTTTATTCATAACTCAAAAATAGCAAAAAATGTTACCTATTATGAAAATATAGTAGTTTGTGACCCTCGCTGGGCGATTGCCATTGTTTTCTGAACAGTGGCTGATCGTTCAACACCAGGAGTTATGTTATTGCGAACAAAGTGTTATTCATTCTAACATCAGCCCATTTCAATGGCTAGRAAGAGCTTTGACGGTTTTATTTAAGCTAAAATATATCAATTTTTTGTTGTCAGATCTGAGCTGTTTTAGTCATCCTGCATTTGGTTTCAACAACTTAGGCTCACTCTTGGTAAGACATTTACGTACTTCTTTCTAGCTTAGTAAATCTTATATATATCTTATTATATACATCCTATTAAATGCAGCTAATTCTGCTATTCTGTTTACCCTATTCTGGTAAAAACTAATGTTACAAGAAATTAATTTTGTTACAACTCAGTTGTAAATTTTTCTTGTCCTCTCTCTCCGAATCTCAGTGCTACATTTAGCTCTRCTATTCAAAGTAGCTTTATTTCGACCAGATTTAGCATATTTAAATACTCTAAGACACTTTGTTTCAGAGCACGTTTTTGAAATTCGAAAAACTTTAACAATGCTGACCATAAAAAGAGAGTTACTTAACACTCCTATGTTGCCCATTTTCTGGAATGTTACAGGCTGGTATGTCTTATGATGCCCTTATACTCTTCCTAATCTCTCACTCTTTGCATTTATAAACACAGGAGTATTGTTTCTGTTAAGACACAGTGTATGTAATGCACTTAGGAGTCGTTGGGTAAAGTCTAGAAATAACTTGACAATCCTGGTATTTGTGAACTAACTGTAGACAAGTTAGAGTGACAATTCTTCAAGTATTTTTACACATCAAGTTAAGCCTTCATTTTTTCCCATCCCTAAATAACCTTTCAAGAAGACTGCAGAGCAATATTTACGTATTAGGTCCGTTTTAGGACACAATCTTAAAAACCAAGAAACTGTATGTGAACAGTAAAATTGACTTCATTTAGTGTATCAAAAATGTTTCACTAGAAATTGGCCAAAATTAAGTTTTCTGCCAAATACTGAGATATACTGAAATAATGAGAAATACTMATGAATAAGCTCCAGTCAAAACCAAGAAACATTGCCACATTTAAATAAAGATATTTTTGCTTCATCTGTTTCACTGCATAGTCATAAAAGGTAATACATTCCTAACTTTTTCTGAAGAGTTGAAGAGATTCCACTGTTGTATATGTGTCTACATGGTTGCTATACTGGGTCATTKTAGGGTTTCAAAATCCTCATTGGAATTTGTGTGTCAGATTGTTTGTATAATTGATGTATTTCAGCAAATTATTTAAAGGCATTCTGGTCATCCTACTTTTATATCATGCTAATGTGACATAAGACATTTSCTTTAACTGAGTGAGAAGTTTGCCATCAAATTTGTCACACTGATTGTATTACACTAAAATTGCAAAGTTTCATTACGATTGCCCTAAAACTGAGGAAGATAGCCCTAAAACTGAGGAAGATATTAATTTTTGAAACTAAGTATTTATATGGAATTTTTACAAATAAATGTACGTGTCTAGCCTGATAAAGAGCCTTGCTGGGCATGCAGTACCCATTCTTATACATTTATTTACGAAAATGCTTAGCTTCAAAAACTCTTCTTCACCACTTTAAGGGCAATCATATAAGATAAGCTATAAGTCTGTTCATGGGATTCATGGATGACTAATCTTAACTGTACGCTGTGCACTTTTCAGACAGCAAAACTTGTATTACCACTAATGTTTTAATGCTACCAGCAGATCAAGATTAACCATTTGCTTTAACTCAAACGTTTTCTTTGATTGACAGTTGTCTATACGATGTTTTTATTTCAATAGGACTATGGCGCATGATGGCGTCATTGACCTCTACTACCAGACTCTCTTGCATGCTTTCATTTGTTCATTTAGTTAGCACCAATAATATTGTCTTACTATTCTCATGAGGGAATACAGATTTAAATAAGAAAGAAAATTCGTGAAGCATCATGATAGTAGGAGTCCAAAGATGCCATCATGGAAACGTCCTATTAGTGCATAGTATGTGATGTGTTTGCCTTGTGAGCTTGTACTTATTGTTTTTCATTGTTGTTTCTCTCATAGCTGCAAAAATGGAGACCGGTCACATGGGGTTGCCGAGAGGCGAAATGAACAAGAATGCCCAGACCACTATGTGGCATCAACAGTACCACGATTCTGGCATCATGTCTGGTGCGACAACAACAGCACACTCTATGAAAGGTGATGAGGATGATGATTATATGAAGACTACGCACATGAGCTTTGAATGGGAACAGAGCTTCACAGACCAGGAGATGCAAGCAATGAATGAACAGTTTGTCTCTACAAGGAGGTAACTATTGATGAAGAAAATTTTGGAAATCAAATAGTACCTTACCATAATCATGCCACGTTACACCACATCACACCACAACACATWACACCATGCTACACCCTTCCATACTACACCWCACCACACCACACCATACTCATTTCATATACAGATCTAGTTTGTTTGTAATTGAAATAATCATGATTACCTACAAATACAGCTGTATTATAAAGGCATTAAATGACATCATATTTTCCTGTCGTATTCTAAGGATTCTTTAATGGTCTACCTATAAAAATATTCGGAAAAATCCTCATGTTAATTTTATTTGAAAAAAAAATCAAAGCAGGTTGGAGCTAGGAATAAAAAAGTAAACCTCAGTCTCTTCTTTTTTTTTTAAGCCAACGCATTCGACAAGCAATGTTTCCTGAAACTTTGGAAGAGGGAATGCAGATCCCGTCAACTCAATTTGATGCTACATCTGCTACTGCMGTTCAACGTTTGGCTGAACCGTCTCTGATGCTCAAACAAGCTGTAGTCAATTTAATAAACTATCAGGTAAATAATTAATATTGMATTAAGCTTGATAAATTGTTTCTGTCATACTGTCATCTAGAGTGGATGATTTGATTTGATTTAGTTCATCAGTATTAGGTTACATATTAKATTTGTGCAAATTTGATTACAAAATTGCAATTTACAATCAGTAATTTAGTTAACATATAAACTTATGATACTATAACTTACAGTGATTTATAAAAAAAGGAATTTAGAAAAAAAGGAATATTGTACGTTTACTTTACCGTTGTTATTAATTAGTGTGTTTGACTTTGAAAAATATAACTGTTTTGAATTGCCATCTTTCTCACTCACAATAAGAAATTATTAAAATTATAAAACACTCAACAAAATTTTACGGTTCTGATTGGACMAGAGGAGTACAATTAARTCCCWAATGGTAYTCTGTAGAGTCCAAATTAAGTTGCTCAATTTTGTGTATTATAAACAAAAAATCACACRTGTTCTCATAAAATTCAGAATTTATAGATATTTGTGTTGTTTTGAAAGTCCTCCAATTTATTGGACTCACCTAATGGTTCGTCCAATTTTGAAAACTTTCAAAACATCACTCGTACCTATGAATTCCGAATTGCACTCGATATCTTGYGATTTCCTATACAAATTCCRGAGTTGACTGCTATAAACTTTTAATTGATTACATATTTTGACCTTAACATTTTATGATTTGTTCATAGGATGATGCAGATCTTGCTACACGTGCCATCCCTGAATTGACAAAACTTCTAAATGATGAAGACCAGGTAGGGAATAAGTTGCTTTCCCATTTACACCACATGTCATTTCGTTGAGTACTTTATTTTTGTTTACCATTTGAAAAGGGACACAAACTTATAAATCAAAGAGTCTTATTCTCAAGGTTAATTTAATCAGAATCAGATGTTATATTTCCCTTTTTTTACCTCTTGCTTGACTGTGTTATCCTTGATAGATTTTTTCCTCTTTTTGTATTTTCTTTTGAGTTAAGAGTTCYGTGCTTAAAATACAGAATGTAGTGGTAGTGAGTGTTGAGTGTGTTCTATGTATAAACATTAGCGTCTGTCTAGGGAAATTTGGTACTACTTCCCACATCATGATGCAAAATAAAAATATTAATTTTTTAAATTATTATTTGAAGGTGGTTGTAGGCCAGGCAGCAATGATGGTTCATCAACTGTCCAAAAAAGATGCCAGTCGTCATGCCATCATGAATTCACCTCAAATGGTAGCCGCATTAGTGAGAGCTCTAAACAACTCCTCAGATGTGGAAACAACTCGCTGCGCAGCTGGTACTTTGCATAATTTGTCGCACCACAGGTATARTTCATAACAAAATTGTCTCACTTTATTAATAATTTATGAAAAGTATTAGTTTTGTTATTGTGGGTTATGTGAAAGCCAGGATAAGCTTAAAAGATTTGCACATTCATTTATATTTAGTATAAATAAAGGTTTCAGCATTGGGTCCAGGGATTGTGGTAAAGTTTTTTATTTTGAGATCCATGTATCTGGTCAAATTAGGATCCAAGTATTGTTGGTGTGATCCAGTATTTTAACAGTTCTGGCAGTGCAAGTGGTGTGAATCCTAGGATGCTTTATTAAGATGTGAAAAATRCATCATGAATCATTGTTTTCTCATATGAAAATGGCACAATTCTTACATAACATATAAACCTTGAGGATTATTTATCAAACRCTTATGAAGTTGAGCTTCATTTGAATTGACATTTCAAATATTACTTATTTATGGGTAGAATATTAAATTTCCCCAGAGATCGTTATGATTATTTTGTCATCCACAATATTCATGAGAATTTATTATATTGAAGCTATTATTTAATCAAGGATCTGATCAATCCAACAGGCAAGGTCTGTTATCCATCTTTAAGTCTGGTGGTATACCTGCTCTGGTCAAGCTGCTTGGTTCCCAGGTCGAAGCTGTGGTGTTCTATGCCATCACTACCCTTCACAACTTGCTTCTTCACCAAGAGGGGGCCAAGATGGCTGTYCGTCTTGCTGGAGGGTTGCAGAAAATGGTTGCTCTTTTGGGTCGTACCAACGTGAAGTTCCTGGCCATTGTAACAGGTACAAGACATAACAGGAAAAATATAATGCCTCCACACCACACAAATTTTATACCTACAATAACAACACCAACACCATCACCAACAACAACAACACCACAACAAACAACAACCATCACCAAGAGCAATACCATCACCACCACCAACAACAACAACACCATCCACAGCTACACCACAAACATCATCATCATCATCATCAAAAACAATAACACCACCAACACCTTCTACTACAGCAACAACACTACAACAAATAATACCACCACTACAAACAACACCACTATCACCACCAACAACAACAACAGATACCAGCAGCAACAACAATGGTAGCTACACAACAAGCACTATCAACAACAACAGCCACCACCACCAACAGAAGCTGCACCACAAACAACAACAAACTAACAAAAAACACCACTAACAACAACAGCAAACACCAACCACAACAACAACACCACCAACAACAACAACAGATACCAGCAGCAACAACAATGGTAGCTACACAACAAGCACTATCAACAACAACAGCCACCACCACCAACAGAAGCTGCACCACAAACAACAACAAACAAACAAAAAACACCACCACTAACAACAACAGCAAACACCAACCACAACAACAACACCACCACCAACAAAAACCAATTCCTTTACCAGAAACAACAAGAACAACTAATTTCATCAACAGCGAATTTCAATGTTCAAAACTCTAATTTATCTCTTGTCCATCAGACTGTCTACATGTCTTGGCTTATGGCAACCAAGAAAGCAAGCTTATTATCCTGGCATCTGGTGGACCAGCTGAACTTGTTCGTATCATGAAAAGCTACACATACGAGAAGCTGCTCTTTACCACTAGCAGGGTGTTGAAGGTCTTGTCAGTGGATACTGACAATAAGATGGCAATCGTTGAGGTAAGAGTCCTATGGTAGGACTAAACAATGTTTCCCCATTTCATATGCTCAAAATGTTACAACCCGATGGAATGAATAAATTAATACACCTGTAAATCTATTTTGAGTTGAAGGTGTTTCAGAGAACCTATCTTATGGAAGAGAATGGTTTTCAAGTCATCTCTTCTTTACTCTTCGCTCCTCTTCTCTTTTTTTATTTTTTAATTTCTTTTTCTCTCCTGTTTCTTTTATCGAGATGGCTTGCACTAACTTACAAAATGGACATAATCTCAAACGCCTCACAAATTTCAGTTTCTCACAAACGTTTATTCACTGAAACAAAATTATTTTAAAAATCTGTTCTTGTGGACGCCTTGTTCAGCGTTCTCATTTTGTGCTTGTGTGTATGCTTTTCTTTTACCCATTTTTTTGCGCTCTCTCTAACTTTTTTGATCTCGTTCCATAGGCTGGAGGAATGCAAGCACTTGCTATGCATCTTGGTCACCAAAGTAATCGYCTTGTCCAGAACTGCTTGTGGACTCTTCGTAACCTGTCCGACGCGGCAACCAAGGAAGAAGGTCTCGATAATCTTCTCCAAATGCTTGTCCAGCTCTTATCTTCCAAYGACACTCAGGTCGTCACATGTGCTTCAGGAATCCTCTCTAACTTGACCTGCAATAATCCAAGGAACAAACAGCTTGTGTGCAGGTTTGGTGGTATTGAAGCGCTTGTACGTACTTGTCTGCAAGCTGGAGATAGAGAAGAGATCACTGAACCAGCTGTAAGTTTTATCTTCTTAAATTTTTCCCGCTTTGAACAAATTCAATATCATGTCGTTCAAAATTCAAAAACTGTGACACTTCACATTCACAAATATTTCCCGGTTTGAGCAAATGCCATTCATACTTGAGCATTGTAATTGGATAGTTTACAGCCTAGTTCATTCTGATTGGTTCAACGAGTAAACCATTTAAAAATCACGGCTTGTCACTCGTCCAAAATTCCRCTGATTTTTTCCCCTTGCGTGTGATACTGGAGTATTTTGATTGGATAGTTACCGAAAAGTTCATTTTGATTGGTTCAGCGAGGAAGCCGTTTCAAAGTCTCGACTTGTCACTCTTACCAAAATCTTTTCAAGCGTTTTAAGAGTTCTTTAATATATTTGTTTTTACTCAAAAGAGTTGTTTTGAAAACAGGCGTTTGAACTAATTAAAATACAACGGAAAACCTATTAAAAAGTTTTAAAAAACATGCCGCAAAAAGCGGCCACTTTCATGTTGAAACCGAAACGGAAGTCTGCCTTTTACCGACCTTTTTTGAAACCCCCGAAATGTTTGAAGGTCATTAAAGATATTGCTAAGGAATGCAATAACGGTTTTCTGTTCCAAGACGTTTAACTTGACTGTTCTAAAGGAAACTGTTAGACAGCTGACCCTAGAGTCACGGCTCGTTCAAAGAGCGACTTYTAATAGATGTTTTTTTAAGCTGAATCATACAAGATAAAAATAAAGTCGATGAAACCAAGAAAAAGGTGTATTAATGTAGAAAATTTTCTTTGCTAGGTTGCTACAAGGGTAGTTAGAATTTTTTACTTGAAGGATTTTTGTGACTTTATTCAATTGACAAACACGATGTATTTTAATCTAGCTTTCGTATCCGTCAACGGAGCCATTTACGGCATGATGAACACTGTGATGTTTGTAACAAGCGCAAACCAGAATACACCCAATTATCTATCAGCTCGTTATTGAAAATTGGTATATTGTTTCCTAGGTGTGTGCCCTTCGTCACTTGACAAGCCGACATGYCRATGCTGAAGCYGCCCAGAATGCCGTGCGTGTACACTATGGGCTTCCTGTGTTGGTCAAGTTACTCCATCCACCATCTCGCTGGCCACTCATCAAAGCTGTGATTGGTCTAATTCGTAACCTGGCTCTCTGCCCAGCCAATCATACACCAATCAGAGAACACGGCGGACTGCCTCGTTTGGTTCAATTGCTGATGCGTGCTCACCAAGACATGGTGAAACGTCCAGGACAGACGGCAGTGATTGACGGAGTGAGAATGGACGACATTGTGGAGGGAACTGTTGGTGCTCTTCATATTCTATCGAGAGAAGCACACAACAGAGCTGTCATCAGAAGCCTTCACTGTATACCTCTCTTGGTTCAGGTATGTTTTGTTATCTTGGAGTTGCAAGAGGAATAGTTGTGCAAAAACTGAGAAATTGGATGAAAAAAGCGGTAAAAGGACAAATGTGATGCGTGAATTGGGTGTTAATGGGACATAGACTGATGTATGTAAAACGATTAAAGGAAAGGAAGGAAGAAAGGAAGAAAGAGAGAAAGAAAGAAAAGGAAAAAAGAATACCCGTTGATTGAAATTGGTTGGTTGCATGGATAAGTAAGTGTCCGAGAAAGTGGATGAAAGTGGAAATAAAAGGCTGAGTACATAGATTGATTGGTTCATTTATTGAGTATTAAAATAATGAAGACGATGAAATGAAAAAAGTAGACTAMTACAATAATATCGTCTTTTCCTATTTTAGTTGTTGTATTCTCCCAATGAGAACATCCAAAGAGTCGCTGCTGGTGTCCTGTGTGAACTSGCTCAGGACAAGGAAGGCGCTGAGGCTATCGAGGCAGAAAACGCTACCCAACCCCTAACAGACCTGCTCCACTCACGAAATGAAGGCATTGCTGCGTATGCTGCTGCAGTCCTGTTCCGCATGTCRGAAGATAAATCACAGGACTACAAGAAACGTCTATCTGTTGAACTGACAAGCTCGTTATTCAGAGAGGATGCTCCTTGGCCGCCAGAGGTATTGTAATAGTTTTCTTCGTTTTTGATCTTTATTAAGTAACCATCCTCGGGGAATAGACCTCCTCGGCTCAAGCGTAATGTTTTCCCATTTCAGACCACGTGACATTCCCTAGAGTATCACTTCTTTGTTTAACGGTTGCACTCGGTTGCACATGAGAAGACACATGACTATGGTTACAACTCAAACAAAGAATCTTACACGTGGTCTGAAATGGGCGACGTCACAGTTACCAAGTTGGTGTACCAAGAACAATGCATTTTCTATCCTCGGGGAATTATTTTCATGCAAAAACTGTGCAGAAAGTTTCTATTGTTTGGTACACCAATATGGCTGCCTTTTCACGTGARTGAAAGCGCTCTATTGGCGAGTGGCCGCTAAATAGAGGTACAAATTGCTGTACAACAATTTTTTGGGACTTGGAGAACTGGCTGCAAATAGATATAGGTCGCTAAATAGAGTTATAAGTTACTGCAAAAACCCCGTCTTAGGAAATTTGACAGCTTACCGATAAATAGAGGTTAGCCACTTAAAATGTAGGGTCACGGCCTCTAACTTGGATTACAAACTATAAAGTTGGAAGRAAAAAACCCTCCCAGATCCAAACTGAGGACTAAATATTTTCGAGGGAGATGAGGAAAACGTAATTCTCTTTAAAACTTCGTAATTGTGCAAATTGTATTCCATACAGAAGTAGAGAATTCGAGTGTTAACCCCTTTTCTCCCCAATAAAACAAATAGCCAAAGTTGTGTAATGAAAAAATTACGAAGAACAATWTACATTGTGGTGAAATGATCACAATTGAAAATGATTTTTTATTTATTTTGCATGTTTTTCCTTCCGTATTGATTAAGATAGATTGAAAACAATTTTCAGCATCGAGTTTAATCGTTGTATCAATAGTTAAAACTTTTTGAAATGTAGTTGAATCCATTTTTTATTTCTTGATTACTTGTGAATTAATATTTTGTGGCAAAACAAAAGAATAAAGATGTACAGTTCGTATGATTAAGAACGTACATMAAATGACGACATGGAAAAAGAATTTCCTCGCAGCACGTAGCCYAAACACGCGGTAGTTAATTTAACTTTCTCAAAACAAATTTAACGCTCAATCTAATTTGTTTTCTAGTTTTACGCCAAAAAATTAATAGTTTCGGGTCGCCGTGTTTGGATTTCTCAACGGGGTTTCCTTTTAACTTTGAAAAAGTTGAAGTTTCTAATCGCTCAGCTAGTAAATACTACATTTGTAAGTTATAGCTGCACGCCTTTGTGCTTTTGTTATCGTAGTTTGTCTTCCTGTAGAGATAGAAATCGTTTATCTTCGAGTTGTATGTGATTATATTTGGGCGTTTTCCTCCTGATCACGTTCGCTTGYCATAACGTCTGTCCCAGTCACGTCTAAGGTCGTCAGGAAGTGAGAAAGGAAAGCGACCAAATGCTTCAAGTTCCGTAAACAACCTTTCGAAAATCAATGTTCACTAAGAATTGTTTTARAGGCAGGAAATTTGATCGTCAATAAGTATTTGTCGTTCTTGTTTTAATTGTGAGTTCATAATATGGGCTTTGGTAATTCAACGTTTAAATTTAAAATTTCATGATTTATCAACACAGCTCATGAAATTCCCTAGTTGGAACAGCAGCAGGTCGTTGTTTTGGGATATATAAGTTACATTACAGGGAAAAACTGGAATTCTTCTGAGATGAATATAAAAACTGTGGAATAATAGATTCAAGCAAGAGTCTCTTGATTCGAGACGGTTTTTTCAATTATTCATAAGGTTTAAAATAATTTCCGATAAACCTTTGGATTGGGTTTTCGTAACCAAGAACAGGAGTTTTGGAAGGKTTTTTTTTACTACAGACGATTATAATGTTATTGGGTAGTGTTTTTTAAGCATTAGACTTTTTCTCAGTATATTTCTTTAAAATTTATGGTTTACAAAATCTCTTTAAAGTTCGTCATTTCTGTATTTATATTCATTAGCTAATACAGACAAGAAAAAATTGTCAATCTTTTTTTATCGATATCTGTTCATAATTTTTAAAATATATTTTATTCTAAAGGCTCCTATTTATATGTCAACTCACACAGACATGCAAAAATCTGTAAATCATTTTTATAGCTCTCCATAATTAAAAAAATTGTTTTGCTAMAAACTCTATATTTTAGCACTATTTATGTTTGAAGGCCCTAAAGTTCACCATTCCATATTGATATGTTAGCTCACACAGACAAGCAAAAATCTGTAAATCGTTTTTATAGCTACATCTCTTCATAACCATTTTTTTTAATGTTTACTAAACCCACTAAATTTTATCATTATTTATGTTTGAATTTTGAATTTCCCAGCACATGGATGGTGAGTTCATGGATACGTATCATATGGCTGGAGCTTATAATTACCCCGCAGAAAGCATGGATTACACCCAAGGTCCCATGGACTACCACCAACCCCATTATGACTACCATGGCGACTCCGGCATGCCTCCCCCTGGACATCACCACCCTGGACAGCACCCCCCTGCCRGTGGAACCTGGTACGACACCGACCTTTAATGACCTTGTCTGGCACTTCTTGTCAAGAAAACGAGTTAGATGATAAGCCTTTCCTTTACGAAAGTTAACTGACATTATTTAGAACCGTAACGAACATGGGTTCGACATAGCGTAAAATAGACTTGTGCTGGCTTTAGTCGTATTTTTTTGTTTTTGTTTTTTATTATAAAGTAAAATGTATATCAAATATTTGGGAGCATTTTTGTTGATATTTTTCTTTAATTTTGTTACCATTAGACTCTTTTGTAAACRTAGACTTTGACTCAGTTTTCTTCTAACGAAAATTTTGGCTCACCTTTTGTTGGAGAGTATTTTGTTTGCCCAAAAAAAGTCGAAAATCAAATAAGTAGAATGTTCCTCGCTCCCATGACGACCAAACGTTGCTTCTCCATCACAACAGCCTCATTTCGATGAGACCAAACACCTCTGCCCCCTCCGCCATGTRTTCAAATACCACTGGTGAAATGAAAAATATTTCACGGTATAGATATTTTAGGCTACTCGAGTAAATGAATAAGCTAGTCTTCTAGAATTAGTCTTTTTCCATGTGTAAGTTCAGTATTTTCTTTTTCTTTTATTTMTTGTAAAACGTACGATCACGATTTTGAAGTGAAAGAAATTCGCTTGTTTTTCAATGTCAAGCTAGAAAAGCTGGCTTTTCCCGCCTTTTGCAATTGGCGAATGTGCTTTCCAGTTTAACCGGTTTTATTTCCCCCCCTTCGCAACTTGCGAAAATGCCTTCCGACTAAACCAGTATTTTCCCGCCTTTTTAAATCGAAGGCCCTTTGAGCGCGCCCCACTTCAAAGTCATGGCAGTCCGTATTTAAAGAAATTACCCTAAAATAGTTTCAGTTGTAGTAGAGCTTTAGTATTTTGTATGCGCTAAAAATAATGCTTCCATTCTGCTAACGCTTCTAGTGAGACCACAAGCAATGTAAGCTTGGGAAGGAATTTTTATCAATGTATATTAARGCTTGTTTGTGATTGTCTTTGTATTTAGTAGTAGAATGTTGGTATATCTATAATAGCAATGGACTTTAGATTTCATTGATCATCAAAATAAATAAACATAGTTCTTTTACCAAGGTTCTGTTGTGTTTCATTAATTAGAATCTTTTTTTTTCTAATCCTGGGAGGGACCGGTTACATATAAAGGCAGGGTGACCATACTGCTAAAGGCCCGAGCGCAACATTGTTGGCCAACAACATCYAACATTGTGGGGCCCAACATGTTGGGAGCATTTGAACACCATGTTGCGTGTTGTGGGACTTGTTGGATGTTGGATGTATTGGGTGAAGTTTGAAACTCGAACTTTTGAGCCAACARGTCCCAACATTTCTTATGTTTCGCGGTCATCGAAGCGTAGCCCAACAATGTTGCGTTCGTTTGGACAGCACGTCCAACATACTAGCGCTGACACACGCGCACTGCACGCCGTATCCATGGAGATTTCAATCAAACAAACAAACGCAAAGCACTAATGTTTAACTGGAAAAGCCATCATTTTCGTTATGGCGTCAGAGAGAGAAGTTCATGAAGGCTGATATGGAAGCCACGAAAACAGCTGAAGGCAAGAAGACTTGAGTTATRTAATCATAACTGCTACGAATTTTCGCTTCTTTTCTTCACGTTGTATGAATGCAGCCATGATGATTTCAAGCAAAAACAGTAGGTTTGAATGGTATTGTGGGTATATTTCGTCCCAGGATCCTTTGCATTGTCATCATAATGCCCAACATGTTGGGACACAATCGCCAACATCATCCAACAACTGGCAACAATGTTGGGTGTTGTTGCGCGCGTTTGCTCGGGCTTAAAGGGTAACTATTTTTTCCTTGGTGTCTCCTGGGGCAAGGGAACAAAATACTTTCCTTTCTGCGGTTCTTTTGTCTCGTTATTGAGTGGTAGGGCTGGTTCACGCTTTAACATAAGTATAAACATAAGCGAAAGAAACACAATTGTGAACCCGGCTTGCACAAAGAATGAGCATAAGGAATAATGGAAACTTCTATTTTCTTATGTTTATGCTTGCGAAATCCAAAGTGTGAACCGGGCGTACATAAGAATAAGCATAAGAATTACAATATAGTACCCAGGCCTAAGACCCAGGATACAATCATCACACAACATTTTTAACAAGTTCAGTTTCAACATTTTCTTCATATGCACGCTTCCTAAAGTTAGAAACGTATTTATCCCCTGGGRGTTGTCAGTATATAAGCAACTCACTGGCCTAATTCTTGTCTCTCTGGCTGGTTGATGATGATCGMTTTTTTTAAAAGAGTGTTATATTCTCAAATGTGGATATACTCAAAAAAATTGTGCGTGCCATTTTAAATTTTTCTCAAAAGTATTCTGCCCTCGAAAGAAAATATACTGAATAATTGCCTTTTTWAAATTTTATTTTATTCATTTGATATTCCCTGCCCTCGTTATTCAATTTACAAGGTTTTTACTGTCAGTGGATTGTTACCCCCTTGCACACTATTCTATAGTTTCGTTCAGTGTGCAACTAAACATACCTCGTATATCTTCCCGTTGTGCATGTAATACGACAGCACACAATACAGCAAAATTAAATATTTAAATAGAGTGAAGTCATTTAAACCGTTAAATAAAAAACTAGACACTATTGCAGCGTTTTCTCGGGCTTCCTTGAGGAAGAACGGCGCGAGAACGCCTTACTACGTCATTTGTACCCCTAGATATGCCCAAGAGATGCTGCAAAAGCACTCGAGTATTTCTTGCATTCTCTACTTTCACATCCCCATAATGCCTTGCGTCTTTGGGGGGTAACCAATCAAAAAACTGTCCCAAATTGAAATGTTTCTTAATTGAATTAATACTTTACCTGCTTTTATCTGTACAATACTGATTATCARTTTATTCCAAGTTAATTTTGCGTGTACAGATCATAAAAAAATGTATTGACTTACGAAAAAATGTTTAAAATTTACCTTAAACGTATTCAATCTTTTTCTATTTTTTACTTCTTCATTTTATCTTTGGATACCAAACAAGGTATTTCCAACATTGCCTGATCAGCCTTCAGCAAAATAAGTGGGTTTTTACCCTCTGGTTACCCCCAAAAGACGCAAAGGATTATGGGGATGTGAAAGTCGAGAATAGAGTAAAGGCATTTTAACCGTTAAATAAAAAAAATAGTAGTGTGTTTTCAGTCATTTGCCTGTTTGTTTGTTTGTCACTCCTTGGGACTTCGTTTCTGAAAAAGACCACCAAAGATGCCTTTTCTTTCACTCTTTGCCTTGGGTTTTGGCTGTTCGTCACCAACAACACTACTTTCCTTTAACTTTCTTGATTTCATCAGCAGTTCCATTTCAGCGTCTTGCTGTTTAAGTATCTCTTCTTGCTGCAGTTTTATTTGCAACTCTCTTCTTCTTGACGCCTCAAGTCTGAGTCTCTCTTCATCTCGTTCTCTTTCATCACTGAAGGTTGTTACTTCGACTTGCGTTTTTCTGTCTTTATTTTCCCTCTGCGCTTGTTTTTCGTGCAAAGAAGTTTCATTTTCTTGTTTTAGTCTTTCTTCATCCATTTTCTTCTTTTTTTGCATTTCAAGAAGTTTGGAAATTTCTACTTCTACTTTTTCGTTTTCAGATTTCATCCTTTGTTTTTCCTTTTCCAGTCGTTCCTGTTCCTTTATTCGTTTAGCATTCTCTTCTTTTTTTAAGTATTCATCGTGTAAACTAACAATTTTTTCCACCTCCCTCTTAGACTCCTCAAGATTCTTCCGTTTATTTGCCTGTAYTGCAACAAAGCTTTCTGTTTCCTTTGCAATAGCTTCTTTTTTGGAATCTTGTTCCTGGTTACGTATTTTTTGTCGTTCTAAAATATTTGACACTTGCTTTTCTTCTTCATCAATTTGTTTTTGAATTTCTTCCATCTTTTCTAGCTCTCTACGCGTTCTTTCGTCATCTCCCTTTTTCAACTCTTCTTCAAGACGAATTAGTTCTTCTTCTTGCTTCAATACTACTTCTCTTCTCTTCTCCTTCTCCATCGCGAGAGCTACTTTTTCCATTTCGAGTTTCTTGCTGTCAATCTTTTCTCGTTGCTCTTCAACCTTTTCTCTTTTCTTCGCTCCTTCTTCCTTTTTTCTCTTTTCCTTTTCGTGGAAACTATCTATATCTATTTGTCCTACTCTTTTTTCTTTGTATTCTTTCGACATTTTTAAGACATTAGTTTCAATAGCTTTGGCGTCGTCTTCGGCCTCTTCTCGAGCTCTTTCGTATTCAAGTAGTTTTTGTTTTTGCAGAGCAGTTCTTGCCTTGATTCTTTCTTCCATTTCGAGGTCTTCGTTTACTTTTTCTTCTTCCCAACGCTTACATTTTTGAGCCTCATCTCTGGTTTTTGCTTGGTGTGTCTCGTCTATCATCTTGGCAAATTCTTGTTCATGTTCTTTCACCAACAAAGCTGTCTTCATTCGGTTTTCAATCTCTTCTGCTGCTTTTTCCATTTCAATCTTTTCTTTTTTCTCCTTTTCTTGAGTTTGATGTTTTTGTTCCTGCACCCTTCTTTCGCTTTCCAAGAGAGCATTTTTTTCTTCTTCCTTTTGACCTTCAACGTGAAATAAAAGTGCTCGTCCTTCTTTGTCTATCTTAGATTTTTCTCCCTCGTCGAGCTTTTGGTTTTCAAGCTCCTGGAGTTTTGCAAACTCATTCTGTGCAACCGCTTCTTGCTGTTTTACTTCCTCTGCTAAAATAGCTTTCTTTTCTTCTTCTTTCTTGTATATACTTGCAAGTCGCCTTTCTTGTTCATCCAGAAATTTCAGTCGATTTTCTCTGCCAACAGCATGATACTTAGTTTCCTTGTCTAATCGAGATTCCTCTTGCTTCTTGGTTTTTTCTTTTGTCAGTTCAAAGACCTGTTTTGTTTTAATGCCATTAAAAAGGCTTTTGTCTTGTATCATCTTTGCTTCACATTCCTCCTTGGCAAGCCTCTCACCATGTCTTCTTTTCTGCTCGGCAAGAACGTGGTATTTTTTCTCTTCCTCTGTCCAGCTATCTTTGCTATTCATCTCTTGCAAATGGTGTAACATCAGTTGGTAAATTGGTCTCTTTTCTTCAGTTCTTGTCCTTYCAAAATGATTTACAACTACGCCAAACGTTATATGGCATCTGCAAGTAAATATGTCACGCGTCACAAAAACCTTCATAGTATCGCGTTACCCTTTTGTTGCCATCTAAACAAAACAAAATTCTACATCCGAGGAGATCAAACAACAGCTGAAATTTTTCGAATCTTTCTCCTCGAATATTATTTTTAAACCCTTACAAACGTCGCTAGGTCGGTGAAAAAAAAATCCATCCAAAATGGGTTTCCTATTTAATCATCAGTGTTTATTTTTAAATACCAGCATTTGGGCTCCAAAGAGCATGTATTCCTGAATAACTTAATACATAAGATTGTAAAATTGGAATAATTGTAAGTCTGCCTTGTGTTCTATTTATAAATACTCTTGATGCTATGACGTCAGCTTGAAAGATCACATCAGAGAACCGGCTCTCTAGATGATTTACCTTGAGGAACTACGAGCGATTGATTTATAAAATATTTTTTGTCGTCCTAACGAGGTTAAAAATAAGACAATCTCGTTCCCCTACACTTATTCTTTTATAGATCTTCAATTCGAATGCTTTCAATTACAATGGATGTAATTCGGACTCTAGATCGCCAGGAACGCAGAACAAATTGTCCAACATCAAAARCACTTGACGAGAAATGGTAACTTACATTAGCACGGGTGAAATTCAGCATCTACAGGATTCCTCATACGATTCCTTCGAGGAAGCAAGCCGTGCTATATAGCCAAACCAACACTGTACCGTAAACACTCTTGCTGCGATTAACAGCATAGGTCTTCACCAGGTCTTTTCCGGATCTTATCAACTCTGTCAGAAGATGCTCAAAGAAACTGGTACTAACAAATTTACTATGGTTAATATATAAAAGGCTAAAGGCAGGTGGGTTAAAGGCTGACTTCTGGGATTGTACCATGGGGGGAAATATTATAAAAACAATACAAGCAATATTTCCAAGCATTTTATCTGCACATTTTATATGAAATTCACTCTACTATGATCATCATAGTAGATTGAATTTCATAATTGATGTTGGTAAWATTTTTTTCTTAATTTTAAGCCTTTAAACAATTCTTCTTTCACCTCCCCTCTCCCATACGATGTATTTTCTTATTTTCACTTTCATGGAATACAAGTAGATGTATAATTAAAATAATCACAAAAATTATGAAGCTTAATCACATTATATGGCATATTTCATATGGCATATGAAACATGTAGTCTCCTCTGCAGCTGCTATTAGTGTGCACTGCTTGACGACACAAGTGGCTGCATAGGATAATAACAAAAACATCTAGCTATATCACGTTACTATCATTTGATGATTATTTGCCAAGGGCAAAGTGATTATTGGTAGAATATTTACCAAGCAGCTGCAAGTCTTCGAGCGGCGAGGTAAATATCACACCATAATCTCTGAGCCTGAGGGGAATAATTGTTTTAGTATAATTTTAGATTTTAATATCAGAGAAATTCAGGATAACAAATGTTTTAGCATTACTTCTGATCTGGAAAACTTTGCAAAATCTCATAATCACCACTCCAGCAGTGATTATCATCTCAGAATCACTGCATGGCTGCTTGACCAATCACGGCTTGAGAAACTCTATATTCTAAGTCTATCTAAGTCTAAAATTATACTAACATGTGTTATTTCTCAAACCATTATCAATATCATAATATTCTGAAAGGATTTATCTACTTTTTCAATATTAATTTTGAAGGTTGTCAAATGACAGTATATCGGGCTTGCATGAACTACATGCAGCTAACATATATGTCTGACCAGGAAGTGAGCATTTTTTTATCGTAAAGGAATCAATAAATTTAATTCAATTTTATAAAGTCAATTTCAGTCATGTTAACTAGAAATATTATATATAAGAACAGCTAGCTGATCTCAAAATCAAGTAAATTTAAACTGAGTTAACACTTTTGCTTTTGAAATTATGAATTTGTACTAAGGCCACCAAATGAAAAAATAGCTTTGCTAATTTGCAATAAATGGGTACATTTCTATCTTCTCCTGGTCAAAATTTGACAGCCTCATGTTAAAAACCTCAGTTTTATAGTCATTTCATTATTGCCACATCACTATTTCAGATCTGCTAGAATGTATCATTGGTAATATATTTCTGGAGCTGGAGGGGTAAGGGGGTGCTCCCATATTAGCGACCTTAAGATTTTCAAAATCTGCGACAGCGACATCAACTGGAAGTGTAACTCCATTTAGGGTTTCGGACCCTCAAAGTCTACTGTCTTTCCTGTAGATGAGTTTACTCTTACTGACAATGTTTTGAATGAATTCTYCAATAAAGAGAACCCTCCCAAATAAAAATTCTTTACACTTCTTGTTGATGTTGCCATCAAAGATTTTACCTATTCCTATACTAGGATGTTTCGCTGGATAAGGTATCATTTTTGAGAATTAGATATTGGTCTTAGACAACCTAGGGTATACAATTGTATTAAAAACTGATAGCTAGCTAGTGATCCAATTACAAGTCTTAGATACACAGTACAACCCCTAGCACCTCCCCCCTAGGTTCAAAATTTGTGTGTACTGCTGTACATCAACTACTGAACTCAAAACCCTAGTAGTTCTGTCATTAGTTCTTAACAAATGCTCCATGTATAGTGGCAGTAGTGATAAAGGGGACTTCTGCTCTTCCAACCTCTTTAAAGGTTTTCCCATCAAGTACCAACAAAAATGTTTGCTGGTTGCTTACATCAATAACAACTGACAGGATGACACCATCATCTTCATCAGTGCTTCCTGGTCGTGGTACAAACACAGGTTCGGAAGGATAGCTTAGTAGATTTTCTCCATGATCTTTCCACTTGATTTCCTCTTTTGTCTTCACATTCAGTTTGATCAAGGCATCGTGAAATCCTGCTTTCTTTGTGCAATGTAAACCATAGATATATTCATATGGCTTTCCATTGCAAAGGTCATAGTTGATACGTGGGAGTTCCATTGCCTGGCCAAGAACTTCAAAGTCTTGCCCTTCTGCATTTTTTGGCAGCTGTACTGGTTCAAGGTTATTTGGCAGTGGTAAGGGAATCTGATAGCGCCTGACTGAAGGAATAGAGGTTTTCTTGGGTCCTGAACCTTCTTTTCCTCTCAGCTCATGAAGATAAAGCAGCTGAATAATGTTTGCATCATCATAACCACACAAATCAACTACGATTTCAGAGTCTGTCTCAAAGGCATTGACATGATGAAAGGTAAAGGTTGGTTCTGCAGTGAAAATGCCTAATTGCTTTCCTGTCTCTTTGGATATGATATGGAAATGAGAAAGTTGTGTAGGATACCAGTAGAAGCAGTCAGCAATGCTCCATCCAAATAGTTTATGTGTTAGAATCTTAGGAACACTCATCAGTAGTGGGTTCTCCATGAGGATCAGATAGTTTTCTGTCATTCCAAAACTGTGGAAGTAAGCTTGGGTACTGTGGGAGGGTACTGAACAAAGAATCTTTCCACCTTCCAGAGGTTGTTCATCTGCTACGGCCTTTGGAGGGATTACAGTCACATGATACTTGGGGCTTGATCCTTGTGTGGTCCCCAAGTTGTAAGTTGTTCCATCCTTTTCATTGTGGGGGTGAGCCAAAGAGGAATCCAATCTAACATCACCTGCATATATGCAATGTTACATCAAAGCATTAATTGACGTTGATATTATTATCTGTTTCAAACTTCATCATAATCCGTTGTATAAACAATCAAAACAAAAGACAAGAAAAGCAATGAACAATAAAAGTATACCTAGCTAAACCACTTAAAATAAAGTCCTGAAACCCAATTTTCGATTATACCCCATCCTCCTCCCCTGGGGGGGGGAGGGGTACTCTTCCCTATTTAGGGTAGGGATGTGCAGCTGAGCCCACTAAACCCTGACCCTGTTCCAGAGTAAAATCGCTGAAATTCATACCCTGTTTCAGAGCAAGATCGCTGAAAATCATACCCTGTTCCGGCATTGCGAAAATGGATACCCTGTTCCAGAGAGGAGAGAGCGTGATTTTATATACCCTGTCCCAGAGCAAGCGCGATTTTATATACCCTGTTCCAGAGTAGAATAGCTGAAAACCATACCCTGTTTGGCGGCACATCCCTGTATGGCAAATATAGGGGAGAACCCCCCCCCGGGCCTCTTCCCATCCACCTTGCATGCTCGTAAAAAAATGAACATTTTCTTGGGCCCTGATTAGAGAACCTTTTAATGTGTTAGCTATATTGCACAAAAATTAACAATGAACTTTCCATTCATTAATCTAACTTATTGATCTTGTTTTGATGTGATTAATTGCAGGATGTGCAAACGATACAGCATCCCCATCCCAAACAATCTGCACAAAATGTACAAAGGGACAGAATTAGGGGGTTGCCACCCACAAATCTGGATCTTAATAACCTTTGGTGATTTAAAATAAAGGGTAGCTAGAAGACAATAKGATACCATCAAGATAGAGCACCATAAGGAAGGGGACGAGGATAGTGGGCAGTTTGAATATCTCCTATTTTCCCCAAATATATATATATCCTGCTATTAATCTCTGTACATAACTCCACAGTTTCTTTTCCATTTCCCTATGATTCTTTGCGCATCAATATCCCATCTTACCCAGTATTTCCTTAAACCTTTTAAAATGTGGAATTCCTAAAATGTAATGCTTTAGGGGGCTTTTATTTATTAGTGCATCAGGGGGGTACGCAAAATAATAGGGGGGTTACCTTATTTTTAGAAAGTGGTAAGATGGGTTATCAGAAATATTGCAGAATGATGAAAGGAGGGAGGGAGTTATGCAATTGTTTGTCAAGCTTTCCATGATTTTGTCAGCCCCCACTGAATAAAYGAAAGCCCCTTAATCATACCCAGAAAAGTTGTGTATTTAAGTCAAATCAAAAGCATTAGAAACTAGTACCTGAAGGGAATTCTTTGGTTATGTTAACTTTGCTCAAGACTTCCAAGGTGTTTGGATGGATCTCCATCATATGTGGAGGCTCTGATACGGCATACTTCTTACCCTTGACTTCAACGACATTCACAAGGCAGTTATCCGTGACCATGGGTTCTTCACCAAGACCAAAATACGAGAAAAAACGCTGGAATATATTCTTGCATGGATCTGGGTGGCCGTTAGTTCCAAACTCGGTGAACAAAATCTGGTTTTTCAGGGTGTTGATGGTGAATGTTTCCCCACGAACAAATTTATTGTAGTATTTAACTTTTCCTTGTTCAATTGCAAAACGATGCAACAGTGCTTGCCCATCGAACCAGTGATTATACTTGGAGTCACCAAACTCGAATTTTCCCGGACCATTTCTAAGTAATGTTCCTTTCAACCAAGAAGGAATGTTTCCAGTGACTGTTGCAGTCACCTCTTCGTCTAGTTCTTCCATCGTTTCGAAAATACAAGCTGGATCTTTCTGTTTTTCCATTTCTTGCGCYATGGTTTTGATCAGATCAATGTTCTAAGGTCCAATGTTTGGCTAGTCTCCCCCACACGCTTTCAGTGTCGTCDCGCAACGCTTTCGGAAAGCGTTGCGTGACGACACTGAAAGCGGCTGTGGGGGAGACTAATGTTTGGCAAGCACTCGAGGCGGTACTATTCCCTTCCCTTCCCCTCCCCCTCTGGCGTCCCTGGTAGCATACCCTGGTATTAGTAAATGCAACAGGAGTAACGGGAAGACTTTACATGTAAAAATATGGGAAAATTATTAAATTACTAAATTAAGTGGCTAGCTTATTAACTAACCTAATGAATTGATAAAGTAAACAAGGCGTAGAGCTAGAGTCGTATTTTGCCGTATTACAAGGAAAAAAATAGTGGTGTGGCTAGTATCTAGATGTGTGAGTGGAGGCTTTAATACTCTTCGGGTACCGGACACAGTTTACGTAGTTCAATAGAAACAAGTATCTAGAAATTACACGCCTTTCAATGCTCTTTATCTGGGTACGGCTGAATTTACAAGTATTTCTTTCAGCGAGAGCTAAACAACTAAACGCCAAATGCATGTGTTGAAATAGCAGTTTTCTGGCTCTTCTAGAAGAGGAGTGGGGGATGGGTACCTAGTTGTGATCGGGGACGCTAAGAAATTCTGGACCCTTTGGGTAGACATGCAGTAGTCGCAGATATCATAGCCTTAAATAGAGAGAAAATACCGAGAATCGATCGTCAAAAAGCTCTTGTAAAAGCTCTTGTCAGTTAACTGTTGACCAGGCGGCATTTGAACTCAAAAAAATACACTCGATTTTTTCGATCGAAATTGCCTGCCACAGTAACTGTTAATGCTGAAAATGATCAAAAAGGAATTAATAAGTAGTCACTGTTTCTAAAAAAAATATATCAGTGCTAAATTCAAGATGGAGCAAGAACTTATTTCTTATTTGCCTKCAGCAACTAGTCTAACATGCAGCATCTCGTTTTCTTACTAGCCGGCAGCAACTCGTCTAACTTCACTGCATGTCCTTATGGGTCACCGTAGATATTAGTGCTTCAGAGAAGCATGAAATCAGTTCAACTCTTTTTAGATCATTGCATTTGCATCAAGCAGTACGACGGATATTACCGTGGCTTTAGCATAAATCCCTGCTAACGAATGAAATCTACTGAAAATCTGAAACTTGCTGGGTCAACAGTTCGCGGAAGTAGTGCGTTTATCAGTATCAGTCTACGAAGAAAAGTCTACAAAGCTTTCGCTGTTGTATCACAGCGTGGGACAATCACAACAGAGCTAGGCTCCAAACTAAGTGAAAGCCCAAAGATTGAATTAGAATTTAGAAGTTGATTTTTGAGGAGGGAGGGAGACCGGAGAACCCGGAGAAAAACCCTCGAAGCACAACAACAACAACAAGAGAACCAACAAACAACTCTACTCACATACGACACTGAGATCGGACTGACTCGAACTCGGGCCGCATTGGTAAGAGGCGGCGCATTAGCAGGGCACGCGGTGCTTTTCGGTCTCATAGTCTTATTATCCTAATCGTGTTTAAGCAATCGGCAATGAAGAAGAAAAGATGGACATAAATGTATTTTTGCATAAAGGTGTATTAAAATATCTTTTTCTGTGGTCGTATCTCCAGTCCTGAGTGTTCCGCGCGTTCCGCAGTCTGTCAATCCGTTGTTCTCTATGCCCAAAAGCTTGTAATATATGTTGTGATGAGTGCATAAAAAATATTTTCCTCGTTTTTCATTACACTAAAAAAGGAAAATGATTGTTTATGTGAAGGAATCTGCTTTTTTACGAAATTTGAAGGAAAATAGTCTTAGAGTACTACTGAAAACGGACAGACAGTGTGGTACATCAACGCCCAGCTGTGCGTTCCTAACATACTCGGTTCAAAAGCAATACAAACCTAGCCAATCACAACCGAGGATTCGAACAAATGACTTAGCGTCCTCAAGAGTATCACGTGACCTGTATTCTGGAGAGAGGAATGTGCTGCATTGAGTCCGACTTATCTTTGTAACTAAAACGATGGCTCGGACCGTGGTTACATTACTACTGTGGTGTAGCTGTTTAATACCCTATTCTTTAGCAGGTAAGAAAGATTTAGAACTGATCTAGGCCTGGTTATGGTTTTTTAGTGAGGTTTGTTATTTAATCTTTCCTTCCTTCGCCATTGTAATTTGCAAGGCGGGAACTACCCTAGCTTTGTTCGTCGCTTAGCATTAGGATCAGCTTGAACATTAAAACAGTTTGGGATGATCCGAAAGTGAAAGTTTTTCTTTTGTCAATCGAACTTCTTTATAACTCGATGCCTGATCCTTCGCCAGGAAAGGGTTAAACGTTATTGTTATGTACTCAGTCGCAGTTCTTGAGCATAATAAGACTCGAACCTTTTGTGCTTTAGCTTTTAGATATTTGCTCATAATTGTGCATAGGAAATATCCCTGGAGAACCCAAACTTCGCTTGGTAGGATCTCCTACTACTTAATAAACAAACCTCAATCCAAACTAGCACCTTTCTTTGATTGAATTTACACAAACGTTCGAAATTTGTTGCAAGTGTTYGGAAGCCTTTTCAAAGTTCAGATAGACTTTCCACATGGGTGATCACACGCTCGAAATTAGAATTGATCGAACCCTAAATTCCCGAATGAAACGAACCCGTTATAGTGTCAGCTTTAAAGAGATGCGGTCGGTTGTTTTGTCAGTTTGCTGAATGGAACCAAAATGTGAAGGCGAGAAGTTATTTTGTCTTGTTAGGCTGTCCGTCTGTCTGATACAACGATCGAGTTACCAACATTTTAGAGGTTTTATGTAGATTTCATTTACCCGAGTCGTGTCGACTTCATGCACGCAATCCTTCTAGCAAAAAAAAAACCAACTAAGCAAGATATAAAATCATGATTAATCCTAGCGATACCTCGATCGAGACATAGTTCGGAATAATTYGATTGAGTTTTGAGCAAGAAAGATAATGTGGTTCTTGTTGTGTGACAGGTAGAGTCGGTGTAAAAGCCAAAAGATTGATCGCTCAAATCATCTCCTGAATGCCAAGCATTTGTTACGTATTACTTTCTCCTTTTCCTATTGGAAAGAGTTCAGGTCTTTGTCAGATCTCAGATCGCGCAGAGTAATGATATATATATAGGAAGTCTACTTTGTAGAACATATTGCAATGAAAGATTATGAAACTCCTAACGGTAAAATAAATAATACATGTTTGGTTATTATAAGACGAATTATAATTACTCCAGCTTAAAATAATACATTTTATTCAATATACCAGTTTACTAACTGTTAAAATATTACGGGAAAATGCTCTTTTTTCTTTCATATTTTAAACATAGTTTATATGTTTGAAGATTCTATAGATTAAATAATATGGCACATGGCAATTATGTCTTTGACTAAAAGTCGTTTTAATGCATAATAAATCAAGTATCATACATTTTATGTTCAACATTTCAATTTTTCTTTTAAAACGGCATCAAATAGAATTTTAACAGGATTTGCTCTTAAAAACTGGAGTCTCTTTTCGATATGTTGTATTTAAAAGGCATTGAAAAACAGATATTGTTGATATCATTGTCCAAAGAAATTATGAGTCACAAAGAAACTATGTTGATGATTATATATGTTTAACATAATATTCATTTATGCATGTTTATTTTTGTCCTTAGTTTTGGTCAAGCATGGAAGAACTTTTTCCATATTKGTTATTGCATTTAAAAGTACCTAAAATGTAAAACCATAAGTCAAGTAAAAAGTTACTTGTAAAAAAACTTTAAATTRATCATCCATGAGTTTGAATCTTGGGCTTTTTACAAAAAATATATTTAGTTATAAAGATAAAACCAAACCATATAGTCATGAAGAGGAAACTAACGGGAATCTATGAGAAATCATACTTTTCTCGATAAAATTTGATAATTATGAATACTTAAGATCAGGCACAACAATTAATTTATAAATGGAGAATTTATTTTTRTTTTTGCTAATTTAAAGGGTTTTATAGGGAGTTAAGATATTTTCGACATCCAAGTATAATAGTATTTAATATCATAACACGATTATATTTTAAAAACCTGAAATTTTYAGAACAAGAAAAAACTGATGCAATTTGTATCGCCAGCTATATATAATATCATTGTGTCTAAGCCTAAAAGACAATATATAGATCTTAAAAGAATCCTGGCAATTCATGTTCAAATAAATATAAAATAAGTAGAGTAAAGCAAAGGAAGRTAAATTGGAGAACCTGAAAAAACCCTACATGTCACTATGCATGCTTCCCAAAAAGGATTTTAAAAAAGCCTATAAGAGTTATATGACAAAAAATGTTTTTGCCATTTATATACAACTGTAGACCTAATTATAATAGACCAATTAAACTCCTGTATAAGTTAGTGATTGAAATTGATTTACACTTTTAATCTCCWGGAAAATGAAATTGATATTAATTAGGGTGTTTACTTGAGGTAGTGTTTGAGTAAAAACAAGCTTTTTTGTTAAGTGAATAGTATTAATATTCCATTCATTTTACACAACCAAAACTCGTTTTTGCTATTCAACACCTTAAATAGCTAYGTGTGAAGCTCCCGTTGGCAGCCACTATATACTCCATGTATGACCTTAGAGCAAAGTACTAACAATGCTAGTATGAATTATATAGTTAAGGATGATTTGAGAGGAGGGAAGAAAAATCAAAGCGTTGGAAGAATCCTCAGATCTGAGTCAGRAAGATAAATTAACCAACCAATATAAACTCACCTCACATGGAGGTACAGTATCTGGGAATGCAACCCAGGACATCAGAACCACTATCCTACCCCAAATGACCMCTAGAATCAAATAAAAAAGCATTACAATAGATTTCTTAATTTCTTTCCAGCTGATACYGAAGGATACTTCGATGGAAATGCTTATGCTGAGTACCTGCTCCACAGAAAACCAGTCAAAAGCAGCAATAATAACATAAGTTTGTCATTTAGAACTGTCCAGCCCAATGGGCTGTTACTGCATGGCGATAGTACTGGTGATGAATTTGGAGATTATTTTACCCTTGAACTCATTGGTGGAAAACTTAGGTGAGTTTGTATGCCTTTTGCTCTTCATTATAGGAATAAAAATTGTCAGTCTGTCACTTGCATTATAGCATTCTTGGACTACACATACCAGAATCCCTTGCACACTTTCTTTTTTCAGTTAATTAGCACCAAACTGTAAAATGGAATTAATTAAAAATGGTATAAGTAACATAATTTATTATAGAATTTCAATAAAAGTGCAGTGTTTTAGATTTATTAGCAAATTCTGAAGCAAAATCTTGCTGTAATTCAAAAACTATCTATATGCATGGCACATTTTGCCTTTAAGGTGGCTGACTACTTTTCAACATGCGATTTGATCGAGCACACGATGGGTGTGCGCTCAGAAAACAGCTGAATAATCTTCACGATTTTATTGAAGAACCATACACATTTTAAACTTCAAGAGGGCAAAACCCTCAAATTTTGCATGGGACTCTATATTTTTTGTTATTTTCCGGAATAACAGGTAATATCCCATTATTTTTTATAAGTTTAAGACAATTCTGTTATTAGAACAATGTAAAAAATCGTTGTGCTCAATTTTTACATAACTTGCACACCTTAAAACCTGAACAAAAAAAGTTTATCCATTGTCTACAATAGGTTATCAAAACAACTGTTATTAGTATTTTATAAATATAATGTAAGATACGAGTTCAGAGAAAATWACTTGTGTTTCTTCCTTAGTTTCGGTTTTATGAGCTTTATTTTTGCTATTTTTCTTCCAAAATCGTACAAACTTATTATATTGTCAATAATAATATTTAGTTTTGTTTGTAGTTGACAAAACCATTTAAAACACCTCTATTATTGATTTATGTCCACAGTTTCTTCCAGTTGTGCAATCCTTAATCAGCGTTCGCTGTTCCCACTTCAACCTTTTATATACATATATATATTAACACAAATTATAGTCATGCATACAGCTGTGTGATGAATATAATTTACTAAGAAAATACTTATAATTAATAGTTGATGTTTTAAGATTCTAAAATTTATTGCACTCCAAATATGCAATTAAAAAATATCATTTTTATAATATTAATTATTTGTTTGGTAATCCAAATTAAAAATGTAAACCAAATTTTTATATCATAAAATTTTCAAAATAACACAAGACTGCACTTTGTCAAATTTTTKATTCTTTGAAACCCAAAAATTAAGTCTTTTTAGGGCTTAAGCTTACATTAAAAGTGTCTTTAAAGCTTAATATGTAATTTAGTTTGGTCAAGTAGATCCCAAATTAATCCCGAATATCTTCGTGCTTAGTTCAAAGTATCAAGCCCTAATACCAGACATCTTGAGTTCTGGCTATACTAGCTAGCTTAGGGTTGTTTGGTTATTGAAATATCTACTTACCATGACCAGCCTTCTAATAATCCTCTCTTGTGCACATGCATACTCTAAGTAAACTATAGAAAACTTATTAGATTTGAAGAGATGACGTTGTATATTTAGAGTAATAATACGTACTACAGTTTTTTTTTGTTTTTTTTTTGTTTTTTTTTGTTGTTTTTTTTTGTTTTTACGTACTACAGTTGCCGCTGAGAGGTTTGAATGCAGGTGCAGTGTACGTAGTTGGAGCTTCCTTATTTGCAAATGATTATTTACTCTTTTGTGTAGAGATGCGCGGAAAAACAATGCAATATTTATAAATGGTGAAAAATCGCTCCAGAACTCATTCGTGTTATATAATAAGAAAACTGTAAATTGAACCGGCTGTGCCACAGGGAAGCAGTTATTTTCAGACCTGAGCGTATGAGATAGGTAATACATAGAGAAGTATTTATAGGAGAAAAGAGAAAAGGGGGAAAAGAAAGAAAGAGAGAAAGAAAATAAGAAAACAAACGAGGGAATGATGTCCTTGAAGGGAGACTAAATAAAGATCAAAGAAAGAAGGAAATAGGAAGTACGAACGAATAAACAAATAAAAGAATGAAGGAAGGAAAGAAGCGAAGAAAGAAAGAAAACAGGGAGTAACAGAGAGTAACAGAGAGTAATTCAGTCACTTAATCCTATTTTTTTTATGCTAATAGATTCGCTTTAAGTTTTGGCCGCCATCAAGGCGTAGATGACATGAAGAACATCACCCTTGGTGACGAGTTGGCAGACAATCGGTACCACACAGTTAATATCGAACACAATGGCCGCGAAACCTGGGTGAAACTCGATACCAGTACACTGGGAGAAAAACACCGACGCATTGAGACGCGTTACAAAGAACTCTACCTCGACGACTTTTTCTTCATTGGCGGTGCCCATGACTTCCGTAGGCTTCGAGACATCATTTCTGGAGCCAACTTTAACGGATGTCTGAAAAAAGTGATGTTTAATGACTGGAACTTGCTGTTGTCTCTTGGCGGCGATGCTACTACACTAAGAAAGTACGGTGTCAAAGACATCTGTCCTGGGGACACAGAGTACCATCCGTTCACACTCAATGGCAGTCCTTCCCAGTTCACAACCTCTATAAACCCGAGGTCGAACGAGCTGAAGGGTCGCCTTAAATTCCGTACCTACAAAAACAAAGGAACACTCTTAACTCAGAAGAAAGCAAACGGTAAGGGATTCGAACTGACCTACGAGACCGAAGCTGTGGAACTGAAGGTGTACATCAAAGACAACCCAACGATTGTATCTGTAAGGCAGGTGTTCAAATATCAATCTGTAGATAAAGGAATGTGGCACGATATTGACTTTGAAATCAGTGCAGCTCGTATTTCTATCACCGTCGATTCCATTAACGACAACAGACCCCCTGGATCTGAATTCCCTCGAGATTTTTTCACCGGGAATGTCTTGGTTGGAGGGGACTATGTTGGCTGTATATGGGACCTGACTCTAAACGACGGAAAATTTGACCCTAACACACAATTAAACAATCCTAATATCCAACTCGATGTCTGCAACATTACTGATTTCTGCTTCCCAAGCACCTGCAAGAACTTTGGCAAATGTTCCCAGGATGGCAAAACCTTTGCTTGTGACTGCTATGGCACCGATTACAAGGGATCTGTCTGCCAATTACGTAAGTACTTTGGCACGATATTAAAGAAAAACGTTTGCGCATGCGTGCATTTCAGCACGTTTTCTAAGAATTTTGAAGAGTTGGAATGAGAAAATAAAGCACACGGGGGTTGGCAAAACACGAGAGAAGTGGTAGGAGAAGCACGACGCGTAGCTGAGTGCTTCTCGACACTTCTCGAGTAATCTGCCAATCTCCAAGTGCTATATAACTCCACACAGCACAGCAAGCAAGTTTTTTATTTCTTTTATAAAATACAAATTACATGAATGACGAAACTGAAAGTGTGCGGTGGTGCTGTGTGCTCTCATAAAGCACGCGCTCCCAAAGGAAAAAATAAAATGGGAAAGCATTACATCAGAGCCGAGGAGGTCTATTTTAGAAGGCGCAGCACGGCTTGGCTTTGGTGGTAGATAATAACACATTAAACATCCAGATATATCTGGAAGCCGTTATCGTCGTAGGGAGTGATTCTTGATACGGTTATCGGCTATACCGATTTGCAACGCGCAATGCAAGCTATCAAATTACGATACGTCTGTTATGTAAAGTCTTGCATGGTAGCATTGCATGTTATCCTAATATCCCCATGTATCTATTTTACCTTCTGTTACATCTTCTTATTCTTCTTTTTTAGCCAAGTATTATCGTACTTGTTACGAACTTCGAGAAGAAAACATTGATATGGAAACAGGCAACTACACCATTGATCCTGACGGTCCTGGCCCTGAAAAACCCTACCAAACAATTTGCAACATAACAACGGAACTTGATTGGTTTGAGAACGAGATATCTCGAGTTTGGACCGAGGTTAAAAGCATGGATTATAATGTAATGCTTCAGAAGTATCCTCCAGAAGAAGCAAGAAAACCAGAATCTGTGATTCGCGATGTTATATACAAGCCGTCATTCTACTCTGCCCAGACGGTGGCTATGGCAAGCGAGTATTGTCGTCAGTTTGTGGAATATCTGTGCACCAATTCCAAACTGCTTAATAATCTAAATCCAGCTTATGGGCATTGGGTGGGTACCCATGGACGACATTACTACTATTGGGGTGGAGCCACTAACAGTGAAGCTGATCGTGGAAAATGCGCTTGTGGAACAAGAAAAGATTGTATTAATAACAAGAATTGTAACTGTGATGCTGGCCTAGACACCCTTGAAAGTGATGAAGGATATCTTTTTGGATCCAACGGACAGACCCTACCCGTCTCTCAAGTTCTGTTTGGTGATGTCGACATTGACAACGATCATTATGCTAACTACACAGTAGGGAGTCTTTACTGCTACGGTAAGTAAGAGAGAGGGAGTGAAAGGTATACATCATATGGGTCTTAAAAAATATCAAATATCAATCTTGTGAGATGGATAAGGTATCATTACTGAGGTCCGAGAGCTTATGGCTTAGGGACTGTACATTTCTTATGGGCATGGGGGAGGGGGGGGGGGGCTGGTTGGATTTAGGGAGCACGTAAAAAATATAGTATCTAAGGTGGCCACTTCAAAAATATTTGCTGGATAGAAATCTATCATTAAAAATCATTATGTTTTGATAGGAGGTACGTAATAAAAAACAGTTTGGGAAGGAGACATTTTGTTATTTATAATCCACAAAATCCCACCGCAGCCCCTGATTATAGAGGCTTTGCATCATCACGAGACGGCGGCAATGTTAAATGGCAGGAACAATGCACTCGCTTTACATAGTGAAAATAATCCAATTCCCAAGAGCAAAGGGATTTTATTTTTCTATCCCTTCTAACCACAGGCAGTCCAAGCTGTATTATGGGCTCCGGCACGTGATAGTGCAAGGCCTCTATCGAACCTTTTTTTGGTGTTAGCTCTTACACAAAAAATTAACAATGAACTTTCCTTATTGGTCCAACTTTATATTGACCTTGTTTTGATGTGATTAATTGCAGGAAGGGCAAACAATACCGCTACGTTCCTACGGGAAGACGGTATCATCAGCCTTCGCTATCGTGAAGGAACCCTTGATGGTGACAATGGCCATATATCTTTGTACTTCCGCACTCCTTATGCCCGTGGAATTCTGTTCCACCAAGGCGACAAAACCAAAAACACTCGGGATTTCATCCGTGTGGCTATCACATCCAACGATACACTGACTCTTTCTTTTGACATTGGCAACGGACCACGGGAAATTTCTATCACATTGCCGAAAACCGAATTCAATACCAACAGACTTTGGCATTCAGTTATCGTTTGGCATAATATAAAAGAGTTTGGCCTGCGAGTCGATGGAGTCGAAAAAACCCTTTTGAATCCTTTGCAGCAGAGCAAACAACTCGATGTTGTGGGCAACTTGTTCATTGGAGGTTACATGAAGGATCTAATGGAAGGATTTGTTGGATGTATTAGAGGACTGGTAAGTAAAAGAAGATCTAAAAAGCACACTTAAGTACATGCACCTCTGTTGCTATAAAAGATTATGTGCGAATCAAAGTGGTTTAATTTCAATATTATACAAAAAAATGCGCCTTTTGGAATGACACAACCTCGTTTCGAGCACTATTCTCTCATCAATCTTACATGCAGGTTATGAATTAGGTATAGGAATTTTTTTACTTCAGGGGCGGGATTTTCCGGGGGGGGGGGGGGCGAAATTCAAAAATCAAAAATTTTAATTTTGCAAAACTTAGCAAAGAAAGTTACCGTATAAATTCCTAAAAGCTGCTGTTTCTTTTTGGCCAAGAAGGGGGGCCATGACTATCCCCCTTGTCTAAGCCCTCGTACTTATTTCATCGATTGTGGACTCAAAATCAAATTCGCGACACCTCGACGAGTTTTCAACGAGTTTTCGAGGCAGAAAGTATTGATATTAGACTGATTTCAAGTCCTGTCAAGTAAGTCGTGAGACTATCTTTATTTGCAGTATTTTAAAAGTCCTTCGCAGTATAAGAAAGTAATTGTAAATCGCAAGATACAAGTGAAAAGCGCCTTACTGTTGTTACTCGACACACACTTGCAACCAATCACTTAAGCTTGTGATCCTCTATTGTAACTAAATACAAGACTTGGGGTTTGGTTTGAAAATGATCCGAAATAAATTAATAAGATATATATATATAACCTCCTTCACTCTACACCCATGTTCATCGAGAAGATTTAATTTTTTAAACGATTTCCTTTAGACCATAAATGGAAGAGTCATCGACCTGGTCAAATTCGCCAAAGAAACTGACTACGTGAACCCCGGATGTGAAGGTTCTTGCGCAACGAAGAACGAATGTCAGGGCGGTGCGCGGTGCATCGATGATTATAACATTTATCGATGTGATTGCCACCTTACTCCTTTCTATGGTTACTTCTGCGAAAAAGGTAAATAAATAGACGGCAGTGTGTCGTCCCCTTGAGTATGATTATAACATTTATCGATGTGATTGCCAACTTACTCCTTTCTATGGTTACTTCTGCAAAAAAGGTAAATAAATAGGCGACAGTGTCCTTGAGTATGATTTCTTTGTTTACCAAGGGTAACGATATAGTTAAATGGATTCCAATTGTGACAAAAATTCTTGAAATCACTTAAAGGTGTTATTTAAAATAGCTGATGAAACTTTGAAATCGATTTTAAGTTTGTCTGGAAAATGTCAGCTGAAAGCCATTGTGTAAACTCATAATCTTAACTAAAACTCGTTTAGAAAATTCTTGGTTCGAAATTGTGCGATGAAAACTGGTTTTCAGTACTTTCCCCTCCACCCCGAGAAGTTTGTGCCTCAACACCCTCAAAACGTTTGAAATTTAAATATGGCGATAACATGCGTGGTATTTGATTATTTCAGACTGGGGAGCATCTTTCAAGGAGCAGGAAAGCTACTTGATTTACACATGGCCTGAGGCCCAACAAGACGCTAAGGGTACAGATTTTGCCATCGGATTCAGAACCACACAGTGCTCTGGAACCATCATGACTATGAAAAGCACTGACCCAAACTACTATTTCGCGATCTCTATTGAAGTGAGTGACCGGCTGCGTTTTGAGTTCAAGTCTGGAGACAAAACCGACGGAGCGTTGGAAATCAAACCACCTAATGGCAAATCCTTCTGCGACAATAAGCGTCACATATTTTCTCTTGAAAGGATGGTGGACGAAATCGTATATAAAGTCGACGGACTCTCAGAGATAAGAATGGAGGTCCCAAGGTTGTCAAGAATATTCAAACAGCCAAAAAGTATCATCATTGGTGCTACCGGACGTGGCCGATTCGAGGGCTGCATTTCTGGCGTCAAGATCACTAACTGGCCAGACGAGAAAACGAAGCTGCCTACTGTAGAGCCTATCAAATGGAGCGAGTATGATTTTACTCATACTGATGAGATCGAGAAGGTTGGTATTGCACGGGATAAATGTGGTCCTGAACCTGAAGTTCCTCCTATTCCTACACGCCCCATTCCAGGGCCACATGGTGCGACTACCCCTCCTCCTGGACCCCCTGGGGGACCCGAGAAGGGCAAGCGTAAAGTAGCAGACGAGAACACTGCAATCATAGTGATAGTGGTGTTGTTGGTTATCCTAATTATCATCGCTGTATTGGTACTCTTGTACTGGTACTATGCTAAAAATAAGGGTGTCTATCACACGCACGAAGATGATGATCAAGCCAGAGCATCCGAGCCTTTTATCGATTTACAACCCATCTCAGCTGGTGCTGCGCCCGCGGGTGCACCAGAGAAGAAGCAAGAATGGTACATCTAGGTGTGGCCTAAACGTGTGCGAAACGCCTTGTCTTATACTCTTTACAAGATAATATGATGATTGGAAGACTAGATCAGTTTTGCCATACACCTAACAAAGGCAACCCAAACTCCAGTAAGCTTTGTTAAAGACATTTAATGTTACATTCCCTAAACACTATCGTTTGGTTTCGTATTCGTAATGGTATGTAACTTTTGGCTTTTTAATTTGGCTCGTAATAGGTTTTAACATCAACCCAACTACTAAAGCTGGTTTGATGGAGTATAAAGAATACAAATTGATACCAACATCAGCGATCATATTCATGTATAAGAAAAATCGATATATAGAGCGTTTTCTCAAGGTTGCGTGCGCGTCAAAATTTAAGGAACTTGACGGGCCACGATACCAGAACACGAGTATAAACATGCATTGCTATGATATTTTTTCGATAAGAATTCATAAATCGATTATTCTCCTCTTTAAATATAAAACTGTCTTCTCAAATTTTACTGAATTTGCGTTTTTCAGTTTTGTGGCCCGTCAAGTTGGATATGCACGCAACCTTGAGAAAACGGTCGATACTTTTGTAACTTCGTAATAAATCAGCCAACTAAACTTAAGAAAACGTGTTCGTAACTTTGTTAAAAAATTAAAAACATTTCGTAATTGGTAAAATATATTTTCATGTAAAATTGTCTGAACAAGAAATATAAAAATAAGACGCATTAGACGGCAGACTAAAGCTACTTCTTCACAAGTAACTTGGTTTTTATTATGCGATAATCAAACGTAATAATTCAAAAACAACATTGATTCTAGCTAAGTTTTGTTTTACCAAGCTGTTGTAAAAATTAATCCATACAGTTTTAATATGATTATTCCTAGTGGTATACGACTGCTGCATGCTTTGTCTGTGTTAGCTCACACGTAACTTCAGAAATAAGGGGTAAAACATTAGAAAATATGTCTAACATTTTCTAAAGATTAAGAGCAATTCCTGTTTGCCTTGTGACATCACAGACGCCATATTGGAGGAATGAACTGATTTTGTTTGTTGTCATCCAATATGGCGGTCAATTTTTTTTTCACTTCATTTGGGTATGCTATCACCCCTAGAATATACGAAACCTGTTTTTCTAGAGTAACGTCAGTGTTGATCCATGAGAATAAAGCTTATCAATCAGCACAAATGTAGTATCAAAAAAATTTCCATGAGCTTTAATTTGAAACTAGGTGGTTGTGAGTCGCATTTTCCCGTGTAATATTACTAATACTTGATATTCATTGTCGCATTGCTCAGCACAGCACAGGCCAAAGCTTTTTCAGGTTCCCTATTTTGGTAGATGTAGAATAATACTTTCATTTGATTTGATTGACTTAATTTGCATGCTTACCACTAATGATAGTTAACCATAATGATAACTCACGAAACTCAAAATGTGTTGTCAATAATCTGTAAAGGAGTTTTTTAAACAATAAAATCGAGAAAACTGAATCTGTTTCAAACTTTGAAAGAAAATATTTTATAACACGTCAACGACTCCGGGTCAAGGATAAAACGCAGATAAAGAAAACGATGAAACCCTCGTTAAAAAATCCAGAGAGCGCTCAGATATTCTTCGTTTGCAATAGACGTCATAGCCGCCATGTTGGAAGAATTTGACAAAATATTTTTAAATGAATTCTTTTGTTATATCCAACATGGCGGACATCCCTTTTGTTGTGCTCTCTTGGGATTGATTGGAAACCAAGAATAAGACATAAGCCGGTGTATTTCTTCTATATAGCCACAGACCGACCCGTTAAACTAGCTTTCGTACAGGGTATTCTATTATTTTCTAGCTTCGACATATCGTAGTAACTCCTCAGCTTTATCTCTACTATTCATAAAGCGCATGAAGTACAACCATGAAATAAAAAAGTTGGTATACTGGTACTATTTAGTGACTAATAGTTGCTATCACTCAACCAGAACATTCATTAAGACAAATACACAAGAGACCATTTGTGTCTTGTTTAATGAATGTTCTGGTTTCAAAACGCGAGGAGTGGTTGCCCAATTCTCCCTAGCCAGTGGCTCATGGATAATGCTATCGAAGGTGCACCCCATCAGACTATCAGTGCTCCTTAGTACGAGTATTTAAAGATACCGTAAAGCTCTACACAGAACACATAGAAAAGTCAAAACGGACGTGGTGTATATCCTGAGGATTGAACCTTGGACTACGCTACAACTAAGCTACGACTGTTCCTAAAGGAAGCTGCTCCTGAGGGGAGAAGAATGTTTCCAACTAGATCCAAAAATAATTTGATCAGGCGTCCCCACTTTTCAAACCGCTTAGCCCTCTAGGGTAATTATGTTAAAAAAGATCAAATCGTCTGGAAAACCTCAAAGGTGAGAGGTTGCTTCGCCTGTCTTCTGTGCTAGTTCTACGTCTTCCTCTCGCTGCAAAGGACTTTTACAGCAAGGAATGCTATAGTCATCTATAGCTGCCTCCGCTGCTTCGATGGTCTGGTGCATTGGGGAAAATAGAGTCTCAGGCAGCCAGTACATTAGCACACCAGCAAGCAATGCAAGAATGCCGAAAATGGAAACAGGAAAAGCGATACTAAGACCAGGTAACTGACCCTGTTGATGTAGAAATTACAAATGTTTTGAAAAGTAGTGTAGTGTTTTTTTTTGTTTTTGTCTTGCCTTGACTATTACTCAATAATTATACCAATTTACCATCTCCAATTACTATTACTATTATGAACTACCATTACCCATTAATGTTACCATTATTATCACCACCACCATCATGTATCATTATTACCATTACCAACCACCATCACCCATTACTGTTACCATTATTATCACCATCACCATCATGTATCACTATTACCATT